TATGTATATAAAATTATAGCAAAGTATAGGTAAGTATCTCAATTGGTTACTTTAATTGCATAGAAATGGAAGTAGTCATGGTAATAAAGTGAGAGAAGCACCTATGACTATTGCTGTTTTCCTGCTCAGTATTTGTTCTATTCCTGTGACGATTTTGCTTTTTCTTACATTGTGGAAATGGCAGAGTTTTTCCCCTGGAGAATGAGCAGGAAAAACCGTAGAGACAGGCTCTGGGTTTGGGCCTGTGATGATGGCTGAGAGCCTGGGAAACTCAGCGGAGCCCGGGCATCCATGCTCTGTTCCTGCCCTGCCATCTAGTGGAGCAGTGAGCATGCAGTGCTGGCCAATTAAGTATAAAGGACTGAATGCAATTACTAAACTCGTGTGGTACATGATGTGAGGTGTGTATTCTGTACATATATGCACAAATATCCATAACATACATAAGAAAAAGTGGTACTGCTAACAAATGGCAGTTGATGTGTTTAAAAAACAAAGTCCTTAAATGAAAAGTATTGAGAAATCTATCACTGCAAATATTAAAATGTATTATAAAAGAGCAGTAAGTAAAACTCTTTGACACGGACACAGGAATGGATGGATAGATCAGTGGAAAAGAATAGAATTTAGAAATTGACTGAGAGGGTGGCATTTCAAATAAATGAGAACAAGATGAAATAATACTCTGTAGTGTTGAGAAGGCTGGCTGTTTGGTTAAAAACAAAGATGGATCCCAGTCTCATTCTTTCCTCCAAAAAAAGTCTGGTGAAGAAAGGTTAAAAGTTAAAGAAATGAAACTATGTAAAATCACTAAAAAAAAGGTAGAGCTATTTAAAAGATAATCTTAAAGTGGGAAAAGTTTGCTAAATAATTGGAAAATAAACCCAGAGTTCACTTAGGAAAAGGCATTTTATCCTTCTAGCAAAACAAAATAGTTGACAGAAAATTATAAAACAGTAATACTTAAAGGGAAATACTACAGTCAATTCTTAAGTTAAAATCAATTAAGTAATAGTATATTGACAGCATCTAATAGAGTACTATACAGACTACCGAGAGAACAAGAGATGAAAACAATTTGAATTTACGTTTCTCTGATTATCCATCTGAGGCTAAGCATCTTTCCATGTTTTATGCCATATGCTCTCCTTCTGTGAAAGAGGTGTTTTCTCATGTTGTTTGCGGGGTTTTTTTCCCTCATTATTTTGTTTTAGATATGCTTTGTTTTGTGTGTTACAAATACTTCTGCATCTCTTTATTATTCTTTTGCTTTTTAAAATGTCTTTCATACTCCAGAAGATTTTTGTTGTTCTACAGTCAGATCTGTCAGTCTTTTCTTTATGACTTCTGGCGTCTGTGACTGGCTCAGGAAGACCTTCCCCACCCAAATACACGAACATTATCTTTGGGGGTTTTCTTCAAGTACTTCATATATTTTAATTCAATTTAACTTTTTAATCCTTCTGTAATTTGTGTTAGTGGAGGGATCTAACTCACTATTTTTTCTGAATCAGTAGCTGGAGACTTCCTTTCTCTGCTGATGAAAATGCTGACTTCCTATCTTCCTTCTCCTAATAATGAAGACATGCGTTGTGATGGTTCTAGATTCTAGAGTACATTTTAATATCTTGAAGGGTAAACTCTCTCTGTTCTTTTTCAAAAATTTCTTGGCCTCTCTTGTACATTTTCTTTTCTAAATGAATTTTAGGCTCAGCTTTTCAAGTTCCATAACAATCCTTTTGAAATGTAGGCTGAAGATGCATTGAACTTAATTTTATAAAAAATCAGCATCTTCATAACTTTGATGTTTCCTTCCCAGCCCATGTTACATCTCTCCATTTGAATAGATTTTCTTTTTTGTCCTTCGGTAAAATTTTCTTGTTTTCTTTATGTGCATCCTTAGGTTTACTCTAGTCTTAAATATGTATTATTTTTGTTGATATTGTGAGGGGTTTTTTTTTTTCAGTCCAATTTTTTAAGTTGGTATTTGCCCCAGGACAGGGGGTTTCTAAAGTACCTATATTTTTAACAGTGGTAAGTTTCTGGAATTGGGAATTTTTTTTAACATTAATTACATTTATTATGAAGGGGGCGGTTTAGTGAAGAGTTGTTATTAAATCAGTTTATATTTTATAACTGATGGGGTCTTAAATTCCAGAAAATACGGTTCGTATATATAGAGTTGAGATGCCACCTGGCCTTCCAGCCCTTTGGAGACCTAAGCACACTTTTTGTGAAGTTCTGGTTCCAAAGTCTTCACTATAAGTTGAGCAAATTCTAGATCCCTTCGGCCTCTGGCTCTATGCTACCAGAAGGTCACGGTATCAGCCAAACCCCAAACCCAACCCCTTCTATGTTCTCATAAAACATCAGTCACACCAAGACATTTTCTGAATTGAGGCTGCAGATTGGAGATCACAGATCACGGGGAGGAGTTACATCCCCAAGCGGCCCAGTGGCCCCTGCCCCTCACTCTCTCTACTCTGATCTCTCACTCCCCTGTTCCGTCTCCAGCTCAGGGCATAGCAGTGGGGATATCACCTCGGGGCCTCACTCTCCCCTCTAAGCCAAGTGCAGTGTTCATCTTCTAAAAATGCTGAGTACTTTCCCTGGAGGGAACCATAATGAATAAAATTTTTTCTATCCCCTTCCATACAAATAAAGATTATATACTTGAATATATTCTTGTTACGGCTAATGACTATGATAGGAAAAAAGCTGGAAAAATAGGTTTATGGATTTCATTTTATATCATGCAAAACAAACATCAAACATGTATACAAAGAGTCAGTTGAAACTCAAAGACCTTTTAAGTCCTCGGGAAACAAAATTTAAATGTTATTCCCATAACGCTATTTCTGAATGTAAACATTCTGTAAATGGCATCGACCCTGACATTTTTGTCTTTAGAGAATTGGATAGTAGGTGATAAATTATTTGAAGACAAACCATAGGGAGAAAACACCATATGAATTCAGATTATTCTACTGCGCAGCATTTATATTCTAAGTATATCTGGCTTAAGACTATATATAAATTGAAAATTCTAAATTGTTTTGTTTCTTACTTTGAATCTACAAGTTACGCTGTTAAATTTTCAGCACGTGGTAGTCTTGGTAAATGTGGTAGAATACAAGTTAAAAGCTTTAATCCACGGTTGATATATTCTTGATTTCTTTTATATGTTCATAAACAAATAGAGTTTCCTGGAAAATGAGGTGTTTTGATAAGGTTTTCTTCCCTCCCAAATAATTATAGCCTATTTTACTCACTCAGTAGCTGGAAGGATGTACCTCCTTTCCATCATCACTCTTGGTCATATAATGACACTATTCACTAATTCATTTGAGGCATAAAATGTGGTCCCCTCTTCCCTGCTAAGTATATAAGTGTGATAGAGCCAGTTAACACAGATCTCATTAAGTGAGAAAAGGAAAAGAAAAGGGAAAGAAAGCAAAGAAAATAAAGGCATAAAGAGGGCTAACATTCCATATAAATACTTAGTATTGAGCTATGTGGTGATGCTATTGCGGTGATACTACTTACTGTATTTTTTTTTTTTTTTGCGGTACGCGGTCCTCTCACTGCTGTGGCCTCTCCCTTTGCGGAGCACAGGCTCCGGACGCGCAGGCTCAGCGGCCATGGCTCACGGGCCCAGCCGCTCGGCGGCGTGTGGGATCTTCCCGGACCGGGGCACGAACCCGTGTCCCCTGCATTGGCAGGCGGACTCTCAACCACTGCGCCACCAGGGAAGCCCCCTTACTGTGCTTCTTACCTCCCAGCTGCAAATCAGGTTATACCAGAAAGTGGTGTGAAATGCAAAGAGCACGGGCGGCACAGTCATCTTGGTAACTTCTTCATCCTGAACAAGAGACCTACCGGGTCTGCGAGATATACCAGTGACAGCTCACTCTGCACATTATGAATACACAGTGTGTTTGTCCCTTTTCCATGACTATATTATGGCATAGGTGTTGCCAGTAGACAGCATGTTTGTTTTCCTTACAACAGAATTATGTATTCTTCAAAGTGCTGTGGCTTTATTCATTTTTATATGGGAAACTGAAGCTCAGTGTCTTTGACGAAGACTTATTCAAAGGGATAACTTACCATAAAAAAAAGCTGGTGCCTACAGAATAAAATAAAGCAAGGGTGGTATCCCTTAAAACGAACTTCTTTCATCTTCAGTTAAATCAATAATACTGGTAGAAATGTGTTAATGTGTCTTCCTCTGAAATGAGTATTCCTGAAATTTGACAGTTGTCCCTATTTAACATCAGATATGCCATGGCCCCTTATCTATTAGCTGTAGATGGACATGTTTGAGAATTTAGCATTTTCCCACAAAATGAGAGAAAGCTTCTGCACAGAGATTTCCAGAACCCCTGGATGCCTCACTATACAGTATGCATGATTTCTATTCTGTGTGAGTTGAAGAAATAATTAGAGAAATAGTAAAACTTGTTAGGCCTATGGATGTTTGCAATTATTAGCTAATTCCTTCTCTTTCTCAGTCATTAATACAGTATGCTCTTCAGAAATGAAAATTATCAAACTTAGACCAAGATAAAATCAGCCCACTCCTAAAATAAAAGTCTCCCTGGGTGGGTGTGCGGGGGTGGTAGTTAATGTCTTTGTCATATGTCTAATCTTTCACTTATATCCTCATACAAATTTATCTCTGACCGTATTTTAAACATGAGTTTCAATTTTTTGCTTTTTACTTCTGTCTGAGCTCTTAGGTCATTAATTACTGAGTTTTTGTTGTTGTTTTTTGATCTTAACCAAATTAACTACCTGCCCTCTTTATTTTAGTTAGCATTATTCAGTGAAATATTTTTTTAAAAAAGCAGTTATCTAAAGGAAAATATTATATTATCTTCACTATTTAATTGTTTAAGAAAATTATCTGAAGGCTTTTTAAAAACTGGGCTGTGATGACACTGATGATGAGCTGTGTTACGCCTTCATAAAATTAACTGCCACATTTTGATTTGCAGGATCTCCAAAGGTGGGTAAATGGTGCTAATCAACATGGCTTTGTCCTGGTATCTTTCGGAGCTGGTGTCAAGTATCTGTCAGAAGACATTGCTAACAAACTGGCAGGAGCTCTGGGGAGATTGCCCCAAAAAGTGATTTGGAGGTAAGGTAATAATATAGATTGTTTCTTCACTCTTGATTTTCCATATCCTCTTACTTAGCCCGCAGGTCTGAGTAAAGCACAGCCCATTGATTCCCTGGCAATATTAGCAGGATGCCTTTGACTTTTCATTTTGTTTCTTAGTGTATCGAAATCTAGGGATTAACTTATATAATACTCTGTGATGGTTAAAAAGACATCTAGCCCATAGCATAAAAAGAAGATCTGATGCACAATGATGTGTTCTTGTGATGGGTGCATTTTTATGTTACCCTCATTTACCCTTCTATTATTTATTATCACTTAAAAATGTGTAATTGCATGCATTTCTATATACTCCTTCAAGTCAGTGTTGGAATGAGGAAAAAATGATGGATGAATGATTAAATAGGTAAAATATTTATTTCATGGAACCTTTTGGGCTCCCATTTTGTCTATAAATACTTTCGATTTCCTTTATCCAAGAGACCAGGCCTTTAAAAATACAGTAACTTGCCAGTTAATGCTAGTCAAAACAGACCCCACTTCTTCTTGGAGGCACTGCCAACATGTGTCTGTCTCTGGAGTTTCTAACGCAGTGTCTAAACTTGGATCTGAACACTTATTTAGTATGTATTTACTTAGTACCTGTCCCCACCATTGGGCTCTAAGGATACAGCAGTGATCAAGGTCGGCCCCAGTGTCAAGCCATTACAAGTAGGCTCTGAGTAATAGGGGTTTTTCCTTTGTAACACCTGTGGGAGGATTAGCTCCTTCTCCTGGCTGAGTTGTGAAATGGATACATATTTTATTCCAATGGTTTAAGACTTCTCCCTTTGGATTCCAGTCCTATTAGATTTCTTCTATTAGGCTTAACCCAGAAAGTGCCCCTTCTACTTTATTTGGAACAGTTTTGTATCTGCTTATTTCAAACTCTTGCCATTCTCTCAGTTGATAAGCACTGTATGGTTTATCTTTCAAAGATCAAGGCAGGAAACAGCCTAATTATGTCCTTTGCCCCACAGAACTGTCTCTGGGGTCCAGCTAGAGAAGAGTACTTCCTGCTTTCTTCCAATTCTCGAGCCTTCCCTCAGTTTCTGGGTGTCCAGATGGGAGCTATTGACTGCCCAGTGGTGGCCCTTGCTGGTCGTTCCTGTTTCACCTTCTAGCTGGTAGAAAATGACTTTCTAGCATAGGGTCATTTGGTTGCTATTTCCCCCATCTCTGTGGATAGGGGAGGAGAGAGGAAGGAAAAGAGATCTCAGTAAAATCAGAGTGTTTCTTATTTATCCCTCAGTCAATGAAAATGTGAAAAAGAAACTGAAATTTTTGTTGTTACTAAAACATGGCTTCCCTCTTAAGAATGTCAACGAAAGATCATTTAACATATATTTTAAATCCAAAAATTTAACCAGAGAGTTCATACCAGGAGTAAAGTGTGATTTTTTGGAAGATTCATAGTCTGGTGTAAATTTCAGGTTTTCTGGAACCAAACCAAAGAATCTGGGAAACAACACCAAGCTCATAGAATGGTTACCACAAAATGACCTGCTTGGTAAGTCAGTGACACGTGGGTGCTTACTTGGCTTTTAGATTTTAATTGTGTAAATGTGAGTTTTACACTCGAGTGGCTTATACAATACATGTATGGTGTATGATAGAATCATTATGTTATCTAGTGCGTTAAGTCCTAGATTTCAGACCAACAAGTCAGACCTTTAGTTACTGGCAAATAATTTTAAAATATAATCATTTAGGCCTATAAATTAAAATTTTTAGACCAGTCACAAATTTTAATTTTCTGAAAAATATACTTAATACTGTATAAGCTAGTGGTGAGTAAAGTTATACCTAGTTATGCCGATCAGCTAAAAGTAGTAAAACTAAAACAGTGAAAACTTAGATTTATGTTATAGTTTTACTACAGATGTATCCAAGAACCTAGAGAAATTTGAAATTATTCCTTTGTTTGAAACCACAGAGAAGCAGAAAGCCAAAAAAACAGTCAATTTATTTTAACTTTACTTGGATTATCTGCCTAGATTTTACCCTAAATCACTGGGCACTCTTGAACACTTTATTTCTTTTGATTTATTTATTTCTTGGGGTTCTGATCCTCAACTCAAAATACCAATTATATCCATATCTTTTAAGATATCTGAATCTGAATCTAATTCTGTTTAATAAGCACAGAAAGGTAAATTGTTGTATTCATTAAATCTCTAGGAAAATATAAGGCCATATTATTCTTTAAGATATTACTTATTAAGGAAATTATAAAAATGTTACTGATTTTGGCAATATCGACCATCATTTGTTCAATAATACTAATCTAACAGATTATGTAAAAGTAGCTTTAAGTTATATTCTTAAAAATGGACTTTTAAAGAATATCTTTTAGAAGCTAAATTGACCCCCTAAAAACCTGCAAATTGAACTTTGTAACTAAAAAACAATAAGTATATATATAAATAATTCCTTTAGTTTATTATAAATGTTATTCTATAAATGGTAAAACTGAGAAAACAATAACAAGACAGTTTACCTTTTTTGATGTTTGTATTTTTTTTCTTTTTCTTTTTTATGTCTTTACTATTATGACTTCAGATTCCATAGAAGGTAGGAAGGAAACAGTAAATTTAAATAAGATATCTTGACCATCAGCCATCTCAGTTCATCAGGGGACACTGCTGTCTGGGAGCATCTAAATTGGCCTCATGGTTTTTTTTCTGCGAGGCTCTACAGCGAGGTGTAGCTACACCCAGAGGCCCTCCTCAAGTTCACATCTCTTCTGGGTTCCTCAGAATCTCAGCTCTCTGCCTTTTCTGAGATGAGCATCCTTTTTAACTCCAGCCATGACCTTTGTAGGTCCTCTGTTGGTTTCTAACTATGCTCAGAAGATTCCTCCAGGATGAAAAGCAGGAACCAAATCAGTGTCTCTCCCCTCCCCTCCTCTCATGACACTCCCCCCTGCTCTCCATACACCAGCTCTGCATTACTTTTCACTGCTGGGCTTGGTGATAATAAAGTTTTGTTCAAAGAAAAAGCGTTGGTTCTACTACTGAAAAGAGTTTGAAATCCACTGCGAGGGTAGATCCCTTAGTTGGGCTGAGTTGAGAAGCCGCTTGTGGGTCAGAGCAAGAGAACACTGAGTGACCAGCCCGCTAGATGTTGAGGTGGGAGAGTCCTGGAGCCCCATTGAGACCCAGGTTCACACACAGAGTTTGTTTTTTTACTTGATGTATGTTTATCTTAAATGTTTGTGTTTTTGCAAGCTATAATTCCTTTCTGGCCATAGAGCACCTATCCTGAGTACAGTGTTTCTTTGTCTTACACTTTTTTTTTTTTTTTTTTTTTTTTTTTTTTTTTCTTGCGTTATGCGGGCCTCTCACTGTCGCGGCCTCTCCCATTTGCGGAGCACAGGCTCCGGACGCGCAGGCTCAGCGGCCATGGCTCACGGGCCCAGCCGCTCCGCGGCATGTGGGATCCTCCCGAAACGGGGCACGAACCCGCGTCTCCTGCATCGGCAGGCGGACTCTCAAGCACTGCGCCACCAGGGAAGCCCTGTCTTACACTTTTTATGCAAAACTTTCTGCTCAGAAAGAGATCTGGATTTTTAAATACCTCATTAATTTTGATGAATTATCTCTTTTATCTCCATGACAGCTAGATGTTACGTGATGTCCCATCTCTTACAACTAGCTTTTGTAACTGTCTGTCCCTACATGTTTTTATACCTAAAATGTAAAATCAGACCCTAAGTTTGTGTAGCACAGGTGCTGATATGACTTGAATGTTGTAAATGCTAAGCACCATACAGTGTTCCTCTTTGGGTAAGCACAGAAACTCTTCTTGGACATCTGGAATCCAGCCCCACATTTTTACATGTTTTTTTGCAAAGTGTGTTTGACTTTAATATAGATAAATGCTTGAGTAGCCAGAAAGTGAGTGTCTGTGTTTAGCAGAATGTGATTGCCCCCTGGTACTTTTTGTCATTTCTTGCTTTCATTGATATCCTGTTAATTATTGGCCATTTGAATGCAGTTGATATTTGTGTTTTGGGAGAAGATATTGTGATATAATTCTTAAAGTTATAAATGTTAGCTTAAAAATGGCTTTTAACTGATATATATAAATCAGATAATTATGTATATAGCAAGCATTGTAATTGGTATTAGAGCAGGAATCTGTGAAACTGTGCCACTAAAAATCCTATATCTGAAATGCATGTTTATTATAATATCAGTTTTTAAGAAATTTCTGGAAAATCTCTTCCTAGAGCAATACACAATATTCTAAGTTGTTTTCTTTTTTAATCCTTCTTTAGGGCATTCAAATATTAAAGCCTTCCTGAGCCATGGTGGTTTGAATAGTATTTTTGAAACTATGTATCATGGTGTTCCTGTAGTGGGAATCCCACTCTTTGGAGACCATTATGATACTATGACCCGGGTACAGGCAAAAGGTATGGGGATACTGCTAGAATGGAAGACAGTTACTGAAGGAGAGCTGTATGAAGCACTAGTGAAAGTTATAAATAATCCCAGGTAAGGTTTCAATTAATATTAAAGCAGATGAAATATATATAACACAGCACATTGTCAATAGCTGATTATTGCCAGTAGGTTGTCAATAAACCAATTATAGAAATATCCTTTAGATTCCTGTGTATAATGCCTTGTGCATGTTTCTGTCATTTGAAAAATAGAAATAGCAATCATTTGGCCAGCCTTGTATGACCTTGAATAATATTCTACCAAGGTTTGACAAACTAAGGAAAAACTGCCATGGGAACCATTGGGTCCCTACTGTGTGTCCATTTTTGTGTCCTTTATCTCATTTTGATGCTCATAAAACTATATATCACCGTTCTCCTTATTCATATTTTAGAGATGAGGCGCTTGAAACTCAGAGAGCTTATGTAATTTGCCCATAGTTACAAAGCTATTGGAGTAGGAATTTGAACCAGGACTGTCTGATTCCAAAGCTGGTGCTCTTGATACTGCCTGGTGCTGGGTTTCCCTAGTGCGGGGCGTCAATGAAATGCCGATATTTTTTACTCAGGTGAATGACTAGTCAGGATCTTTATTTTATTTTTTTTCTTAAATTCTTGATGTGTCTTGAGTTAACCCAGTTCACAACTGAGCCTGAAAGAGTAGAGAGTTGGCCTGTGTAGTTTTAAAACAAAGCAACAATATTTCCCATTTTTATGTGACATTTCATTGATCTTGCCTTTCAAATGGCATTAGTGTCTGAAGAGTGTGAGCTTCTTCTGTTTATACCCAGGGTAGATGGCATAACAGTAGACTGAGAAACGCTGCCATATTCTAAGAAACAACCAACAATAAGAACAATTCTTTCATATAAAGCGATGTAGCTTTTAGGTAAAAGCCTGGGTTCAAGTGCACTGCAGTTCATTATGCTGTCTTATGTGGGCTTGGAGGTGGCCTTCGTGTGCTGACCCCTTAGAGGATCCAGTGTCTTGGTCACAGCTCTTGGCACTTGGATCAGTATGTTTGCTGATCTGAGGTACCTGACTGTGAGATCCCTTCATCTGTGTTCTGTAGCCTTTCTTTTAAAAGTCTAGTGTTTTTCAAAATGTGATGTTCTTATGGAAGATGATATGTATCACACAGGCTTTTAAAGGAAGATTTGTACAATGCAGCCCTCAAGTAGAGTTTGTAGAGAGATAGTGGCAGAGCTGGCCGAGATTGGGTCGGTTATGCAGAAAAAGCAAAAGTCTGGATCATCCACACAAAATCAGTCTGGCTGTGTTCTGTGAGGTGTAAAAGGGGCCAAATCAGAGACCAGGCTTTAGTCTTAGGTCACACTGCGATTAAATCCCAGCTATGCCATCTTCCAGTATACATGTGTGCTTGATTTCAAACTAGGCTTTATTTTGTTTAGTGAATAAATTTATATTCTTCCACAAAGTATCCATATAAGATAAATAATTAGTTATTTGCATATAACCCTTGAAAAGTTTAAATATTTAACTAAGGCCTTTTGCACATTCAGGGTCGGAAGATGTTTTTATTCATTGTAAAAATGACAGTGATTCAGGTAGTATGTTCTTTGCTAAAAGTAATTATATGTAAACTTAAGGCATTTATCTTTTTTGTTTCAAATACATGATAATGTTCCATACTTAACATGCCATAATTATTGAAAAGGCTGATTTGATTCACTAATATTGTGTCCAAGATATTCTAGTTCAAACCAATAGTGCTAAAGAAGTAGCACTTATTTCTTTTTTACTCAACTTGAAGCATGTCTTCCTTCTTCCCATACTAGTTGTTTGGATTTATTTACTGAAAGCTACTGCTTTGGTTCTTTGGAAGGAATTCTTTTGAATCTGGAGATTTTATTAAAGCAAGTTGTAGAGAAAGATGGGTAGTTAATCCTTATGAACTTAACACATATCCAGCCCTTGGTTATTACTTTTTTTTTTTTTTTTTTTTGCGGTACACGGGCCTCTCACTGCTGTGGCCTCTCCCTTTGCGGAGCACAGGCTCCGGACGCGCAGGCTCAGCGGCCATGGCTCACGGGCCCAGCCGCTCCGTGGCATGTGGGATCTTCCCAGACCGGGGCACGAACCCGCGTCCCCTGCATCGGCAGGCGGACTCTCAACCACTGCGCCGCCAGGGAAGCCCAGTTATTACTTTTGAGAGGAGACACTTCCCCTTTTGTAAAATAAAATGTGCAAGTCACATGAGCCCCTTACAAGGTAATTTGTTTTATTAAAAGTAATTTTATCCAAGACATTCGAAAGGAGAGTTTAGAAGTGGCCTTAAGTGACCATTTTAATCACACTGTTCTTTTTTTTTCCCCCACAAACTTTATATTCCTACTGGTAGAAATTTGGGGTTGTAAAGCAAACTATGCTGAAAGGACAATGCCACTTGCTACCTCTGAAAGGGGGAATCCTGGAAAATTGGGCCGGGTAGTGAGCTTTATGAGTCTGCTCTTGGGGAGAAGTAAAGGTCTGAGCGATGAGGCCCTACTCCGTACTCACGTAAGCTGAGGCAGGTAAGGACTGGTTCTGGACCAGTGAGCCTATTGGAGTTTCATAGGTGGCAATGAAGCCAGAGTCCCTGCAGAAGGATCTTTGTCACATGCAGTCTGTTTAATCATCTCTAGAGAATGGGCCATAGTCTCATGACATTAAGGTGCCTGAGGACCAAGATTGTTTTTAATCCTCCTTCTTCTATGTTAAAATAGAAGGTTGAATTTCATTTTCTAAGATACCATGTTTCACTTCCATATTTTAAAGATGCTCTTTTATCCTGCAAGAATTTTCTCACAAAACAGAGTAATCAAAAGTTTCTAATTTACCTTTTGCCATTGATTAGAAATAATGATAGATTACAAAGCAAGGCCTCTTAATAGTACAAGGAATATTACAGGGATGGCCTCTTAATATTTGGGTGAGGTTTTACACTTTTAAAGCAACTGGGTTTATTATATAACAGTAATTTTGTTGTAAGGCTAGGATGACACAGAAAATGGGCTTTTTCTTTTAAAAAATTTACTTATATAAGTATTCAAAATACAAGAAAACAATTAAAAATAACAATAGGTAATAACAGTTTACAGTGTTCTATAGTTTTTTCACAAACTTTTCAACACATGGTAGACAGTATGGCTTAGGAGAAAGATCATGGACCCTGGGAGGCAGGAAATTATGGCCATGAGGGCAGTCTTTTGTTTTTGTTTTTGTTTTTTTTTGCAGTACGCGGGCCTCTCACTGCTGTGGCCTCTCCCGTTGCGGAGCACAGGCTCCGGACGCGCAGGCTCAGCGGCCATGGCTCATGGGCCCAGCCGCTCCGCGGCATGTGGGATCTTCCCGGACCGGGACACGAACCCGCGTCCCCTGCATCGGCAGGCAGACTCTCAACCACTGCGCCACCAGGGAAGCCCGAGGGCAGTCTTTTGGATGATCTTCCCACCATCAGTCTCTTCCTTTCTTTAATCCTCTCCCCGAAGCTCTGGTTTAAAGCCAGTCTCTCTGATTTAATGGTCTTTGATTCTAAGAACAGGGCTGCATATCTTGTCATTCTGAACACACATGAAAGAGACTCACGTTCCAGTCTAATTTCCAGCCAAACACCCCTGTGCTACATACTCTTTCCAAATAAGTTTGTTCTGGGCATACTCTTGCCCTCCCACCTTTATTACTTAGTTCACACTCTTCTCTTGGCCTAGCAAGTTTTCACATGTCCAAACTTTTGTTCCTGTATAAGGCACAGCTCGAGGGCCACACCCTCCATGATGTGTTTTGTAATCCTTCCATGTGGAAATTATTTCTTATGTTTGAACGACGCAAACTCTAATCAGAGATCCATGCTCAAAGGGGCTTTGTGCCAAAGATTGGCATATAAAAGTTTAGTTAAATATTTTTGATCCTCTTTAGCTGATTTTTATCAATCATTTAAGAGTGTTGTCTTTATATGTATGTATATACATATATACATATATGTATCTCTACTGCATATAATGTCACTCACATATGGCTTCATAGTGTTTGTCAACTCCTTTTCATCTGTTTACTAAATATAATAATCTCACTCTGTCAGCTAGTGCTGTTTTAAATCAGAACAAAATTAAATGTCACTGCTAAAAGGAAAAGGTGTTGGGACAAAATTCTGCATTTTTTTCCACCGTCCCTCTGTTTTAGAATCTAATAAATTCACTCCTCTTCCTGGTTGAGACACATTGATTAATAGTATTTAAAAGCATATGAAGAGAAGGATTACGTGTATATAAGAGGCATGGTCTAGTGTAGAAAGAGCATGGGATTTGGAGTCAGAAAAACTTGAATTTGAATCTCAAATTTGTAATCATGGTCAGGTCACTTGGTCTCTCTGATTTTCATTTTCCTTATCTGTGTAAAATTTATTTTACTGTGTTAGTATAAGGTAATATGTTGAAAGCACTTATCACAGTGCCTGGCACATACTAGGTACTTAATACAGGATAGCTATTTTTATTTTCCCCATTTTTAACTTTAGGGAGTTATGATCCTGAGCCTTGTAGCTACATGATCATTCTGTGTCTTACCTCCACCTCATAGCTACCGTCAGAGGGCTCAGAAGCTTTCAGAAATCCACAAGGATCAACCTGGTCACCCTGTCAATCGGACTGTCTATTGGATCGATTACATTCTGCGTCACAATGGAGCCCATCACCTACGTGCCGCTGTCCATCAAATCTCTTTCTGTCAGTATTTTTTACTGGATGTTGCCTTTGTGCTTTTGCTTGGTGCTGCCTTGTTTTACTTCCTCTTGTCCTGGGTCACAAAATTTATCTACAGTAAAATCAAAAGTTTGTGGTCTAGAAATAAGCATAGCACAGTTAATGGACATTACCATAATGGAATCCCCAATGGCAAGTATAAAAGAAATGGCCACATTAAACATGAAAAGAAGGTGAAATGAGCCAACAGCCCACCTGATAGTAACAAATCTGTTCAGTCATTGAATTTTTATTGCTATAATTTAGTCTAACAACTACTAAAAGGAAAACATCAGTAAACAATTCTAACACTCCTTTATCTGATCTTACTAATGAAATTCTGTGGAATTAAGATGGCTGTAAAAAGCACAGACCTAAAATGCAAAAATGTATTTTATGTGAATACTGATGCAGAGAGTTTTGGCACTGAACCTTTTAGAAGCCTTAGTTATTTAAATCATTTAAGTGACCGTGTCAGACTTTAGTTCTAAGTCTTGATATATGTGTGTCCCAGATAAGGAATGGTTTCTTTTCTCTTAAAAAGATTTGTTTGTGTATGTATGTGTGTGTGTATGTTTCCTAATTAAGATTATTTCAGCCAGCTGCTTGTTACATTTGTTGACGGTACAACACATTCAAGAATGAAATTAGAAAGACGGTTAGGATCCAAACGTTTCTCTTCTAGAATTTAATATATGGGAGCTCAGAACACTACCATGAAAGAACATTTTTCCCTCAAAACTGAATGCAGAGGAAGAAAATGAAAAGATAGATGACACCGGTTTTTGTACTTTTAGGGTTTTTTTGTTTATTCATTTTAGATTTTTTGTTTTGTTTTAGTTTTACTTTTCTTACAGACTGTGGATACTTCTGGGGGAAAAAACATACAATTAAGTAAATGTATAAATTGGTTGTCACGTTTTACTTCTATTTTCTCCCTACCAATAATTTGCCTCTGGGAGAATTTTATAGTTTTTTTCTATTTCATTTTAATGAATAACAGTATGTTAAATGTATAATTAAAACAAAGCAACAAAGCTCTGACTTTTGTTCAGAGTACTGAAGATTACTGCTTCTATGGCATCTTTAAACAGGGTTGTTATTTGAATGTTTTGTAACTGTTGGATGGCTTTTCTGTAATGTAATTTTTGAATGTTCAGGTGTGGTATTTCCAAAGTTTTAACTTTAAAAAACCACCTCCTTCATCCTATTTTGTTGTCTGGGCCACACAGTCTATTACATAGGTGCCAACATTTAATTCTTTTCATTGGAACATTTGCTTTTCTCCATATTGGTACCTGCTTTGTCTGAGAGGTTTGAGATCTGGTTACCACGTCAAACTTTACACGTTATACAGAAGTGACAGAGAAATTGTACTACTTGTTTGTGAAAATGAGTTCCCACTCCCCTCCTCACTGCCTTCACCCTTACTTCAATCCATTGTGGCTGACATGGGACAGGAATAGTATTCATTTGAGGATCGGGGTGCAAGTCACAGACATCACAAAATCAGGACCTCCCAACTGAACCGTTCACTTGCTGGCAACTATGAGTTTATTCCCTGTCATTCTGTTTACTTAGCATTTGCACTACACATGTTGAGTGTATGCTTTATTTATTTGAAGTTTGACATCTTATGTCTGACAGCTGAGAGTAGAAAAATACAGCATCTACCTAATGACGTTCGCTAACATGGGAAGAGTTGTGAAAATTCTAGAATGCTTAAATCCTTATCATACACTATGACATACAACTTCATCACACTCCCACCAGGAGCCACTCTCCTGTACTTAGAAATAATGTCACAAGTAGTTTTCTAATGTACAATGCAGGCAAATATATTGCTGTCTGAATACTTGAAGAAATGGTATTACACATATAAGCCTATTAGTTATACCTTTTCACAATCTTATAATATTGCCGTTAAAAGGGAAAAAAGACACAGGCAATGAATGGTGGGATGGCAACAGGACTTAGAGTGTATGAATGAGTTGATATTGCTTTTTTGGAATTGGATAAAGGTGACAGTAGGCATTCACTGGATGATTAAACATAAATTAATCTCCACTGTGATAAAAACTTAAACAATAAACATTATTTAAAAATAGAGAAATGTTGTTGGAATAAAATTTTTATTCAGATTTTATTTCACAATATTATGTGAATCCATTATAAACATGTTTCTGAGACAGGTCTCCCAACCTTTATATGTGTATATGAGTGTGAAAACAGTGCTACATGTGAGAATTTTTTTTTATTATTATTAAACAGAGGGATTTACCTTACAAGTACATCAACATGGATCTTAAAATTGTCCCATAATTAAGAATGTTAAGTGTAGGTATTTACTGATCATTGTTGTTTTTTTGTTTTTTGTTTTTTTAGTAAGCTTATTGTTAGCCAGTTTTGGTAAATAGAGTGATTTTAAATTTTCCACGCTTGGGCTAGATTCTCTAATAAAGTAAAGTTTTCAAGAAGGTATTTATTCATTTATTTTTTAAGAAGAACCTCTGCAAGTATTTCTGTCGCTGGTCATCATATCAAATGCAAATGAGAATTAAGACATCAGTCGTTTTTCCTCTAGAGCCATAACTTTTAATATCCCTCTCCATAGACATAGAGGCAGAATTTGTCCGGGATTGAAGGGGAGTGGTGTTTAGGTTAAAGCGGTGGTTTATGATTGAAGTTGGAGAAAGCTAGAGATTCTCTCTTGAGGATGTAGACACTTTGTATTACAATCTGGGGACATTCTCAAGACTCCCAAATACAACATTGATATCTTCTGGCAAAGTCTCTGGTGGTGTTTATCAACTTAGGTTTGGGAGTACTGTCCTTAATGAATCACCTCTGAACCTTACCTATCCAACAACTTATTGACCACATCTCCCGCTAGATTGTGATACACAACACCCCTCTCCAACTGCTGGAATCCACCACACTAGATCCTCAGAGGACTCTAATTCAGAAAAACCTATTCAGGTGATCTGCTATCTGCCCCTGCCCTCCTTCCCTTCTAGGAACCAGTAGTGGTGAGGCACTGCTGAGACAAGATGTAGCATCCTGTTTTTTCCCCACCCATTTCCTGTTTCCACCCAAACTACAAGAATATTTATGCTCAGATGACCTGTCTCAGTGTCGTGCTCCCAGCTTTGCCTTGTAATTAGGCAGATTAGACATTATAATTGGACACTGGGGGGCATAAAACTTGTGATGAAATTAACATGAAAGAAGTTCAGTTTGTTGTTGTGTAACATTTTGTGGACCATTGTTATTTATAAACGGTAAGAACCTTCTTTGAAATACACAACTGTAGTGAATTGAAGAGAGAATATGTATTTATTTATAAGCAAGAACTCAGGAACTGCCATGGAGGGGTGGGGAGTGGAAGTGACTTGACGTTCAGTGGATGCCTGTCCCATTGCAGACAGGGGAGTTTACAGATGATAAAGACAGTCTCTCCTTCAAGGAGCTTGTGATCTAGTGGGAGACATGGACACAGAAGTAACTATAATGTAAAGTGCTGGGGCCCATGGTAGATGTATGTGCAGGGTACTGTGGGAACACTTGGGAGGCAAGAATACATGTCAAAGAAACCTCTCTGTGTGCACCAGAGAATCCACACTCACTACTGGCTTATCTTGTAACACAATGTCCATGCCATTAATTGCTTCATCAGGAACATCCTCATGAATTTATTTTTTGAATCAGGTATTGAATTCAAGCTCTGATTGTCTGAGGGTCATGACTTTGAAGGCTTACCCCAACATTTACTAATCTTTAACTTTTGAATTTATTTGTATGATGATGGTTACCTCATGGGCTTATCTTGAATACATATACACACACTACACACACATACACACACACACACACACACACACATATACACTGTGCTGGCCATTATACTGAATGTTTAATACACTGTGTGTGTGCGTGCATGTGTTTAAAGCATTCAGCATAATGGCCCACACAGGATGAGCCCTCAAATCTGTGGTATTAGTCATGGATATACTGAATAGACTAACTTCTTTCACATTATCGTGCTTTCAGTTTTTGAAAATTGTTTAGGAAAATGTGTTTTATTCATTTCATTCATTTATTCAACTATTTATTAAGGCTTCTATTCACCTGGTGGTATTTTAGGTGTCAGTGGTGCACTTGGCTCTCACAGTTATATCTTGTCCTCTCTCTTCATAGCTCAGCTATTCACCAGATCCCAAAATGCTGCTAAAATGGAATGACTCCACTTTGAAAAGGTTTAAAAATGAGAGAACCAGTATAAGGTGACAAAAACGACTTCAAGGGATAAATACAGTGATCTGTTTTATTATTGGAAGTATAATTATTTTCATTCTTGTTTCTAAGTAATTCAGCTGGTTTATAAATATAAAATCACATTAGAGAATGCTTATTTGCAATTGGTATTTCAAAAACAATTTGAAATAGAAAACTTTTAAATCTTATATGACAAAGTTTAAGAATTATGTGAATGCTATTAAAGAGCTTCTTATCCTTCTTACTTCTGAGACAGTATAATTTTTAGCCAGCTTTTAAAGGCATATGTTTCATGCAGAAATGCTAGTGAAAGTTTTCGCAGAGAGCAAAAACATTTTTCTAACAAATTTTAGCTAGTGGTGTCTTAGAAATCTATACAATTAAGACATGTCAAAATGACATATTGTCATTTTTCTACAAATTCTGCAAAATGTTACAAGTTCCTAATCACTTGGGTATTTGGGTTTCTGACTTGGGGCCAGGGTGGGGAATGGCATGAATGGTCTTATTTTTCAAGATATGGAAACCAAAAGGCACACTATAATTATGTAATTTGCACTCTTTACTTTTGGGTAAACAAGACATAATTTAAGAAAGAATTAATTAATTCATATAACCCACAAGATTACTGATAACCAGCAGATTTTTTCCAGCAAGCAAAATATTGATATAATCCAAGGTCACATTGAAAAATCAAAACTACAGGTAAAATTATACTATGTTATTCAAATAAAACAATTATAGTGTAAATCTACTCAAAGAAGTCTAACACCAATATTAAATATCTCAGGTATTACAAAGCATTTTCATTTATTAAATAATAAAACCTGAAATCCTCACTGAATTTTTTTTTTTTTTTTTTTTTTTTTTTTATA